CGAAAACGAAACAATATTTACCTGAGAAAAATATTATTCATGTAGACGAAATACCAATTTGATGTGCAGTCATGCATCAATGATTCACGTGTTTCGTTATATTTACATGTTTGTCTGCATTCATTTCATTTACTTTTATTTCATATTTGCAACATCAATCTTCTATAAAGTACAAACAGCCTTACGAAAAGTTCGTCTGTATACAATTTACATCTAATCGACTCTTCAAGCATTTATATCAGGTTTTAGTTCAACAAGAATAAACCATGGAACGATCACGATCAAAATCACGATCAGAATCAGGATCACGATCACCATCACCAGAACTAGAAGCGAAAGGATTTCAATTCGTAGCATACCAATGGCAATGGGTAGTACCACAAATACAATGGCCAAAGATATTTCAAAACACACTTTCCGTTAAGTGGCGGTGTGCTAATTGTAGAAGAAAGAATCGGACTCGTCGTTTTACGTGCCAGGAGTGTCTCAGCCTCAGACCTTACGATCTTTGCCATAATTGCATTAATAATGCTCCGAAAATACATCCACAACACCATTTTTATCCATTACATGACTTGAAGAAGTACAACATCATTTGGTGGGTTTGATATTTCTCTTCCAATTCTTACTACTATATAAAAGTGAAAATGACACAAACTATTTCACATGAAATCTTCTGTTTTAATGTTCTTCACTAATACTTTTTCTTCTTCAATAAATGAGAAAACTAAATGGCGTTCGATAATAAGAGAGAGAGAGAGAGTGAATCATATGACTGTCGCATATCTTTGATGTGTATACGATGTGAGTGTAGCTGCTGACTACATTGAATCAACTTAATCATGTAACTGAACTTTTTCTCGATTGTAGTTCTAGATGCTGTGTGTCCGTCTCAGATTCATTGAGCCATAGGGCTATCCTCCATATAGACCCATTGATGATTACCATGTTCAATACGAAAGACTTGAGAAAAAAATTTAAAAAAAACTTAGAATACACACTCTGTAATTTGAATAATAAAGAATTGAAATTCAAAGCATCACACGACGCGTTTCGACCTTGCTTAAGGGTCCTCATCAGGTATGTTTAGAATTTCATAATTACATGCAAGTCCTAAATCACTCAACCTAGAAATCTAGATTAAGGTATTTAAGACTTAAACGTAATTAACAAAGAAAAGTATATCTCAATAATTAGATGAGCATACCACGACCGGTTTCGACCTTGCTCAAGAGTCTCCTCAGGTGGCTTAAGACATCTTAATCGATTGCGAAAATCAATCAAAATATCTTCTACACTGTCCTATGAAAGCTCAATTTTTTGAAGGAAGTGTATATAAGTGACCACGATAACCTAATTTATTAGATTTTTTCTGATGTTTCTATACTCAATCTTTGTCAAATGACCTCAGTACCAGTTGAAACGATCCAAAGAAATATTGAATCAAAACATGATACCTGAAGTATTTACTTGTAAAAGTTATAAAAACCCAAGTAGATACACTCACAAATTTAGATATTAGAATGTTGAAGTTCAAAGCATAACAGGACGCGTTTCCATTGCTGCTTACAGAGTCTTCATCAGGTATGTTTAGAACTTATGGTTACATAGCTAGTCAGAAACTCATTCAATAAATGAGGTACATAAGACTCAAGAACGTAATAACAACATCTTGATATTTAATGGAACAGTAAATTTCAAGTAATTATTGTATGTGAAATTTTGTTTTTTGATGAAGAATATCATATGGTGCAAGTTCCGTTGTTCATAATTTGAAATTATCTTGTTCCATGGTCCTAATACGATGGCTGATATTTTTTATGGTACAGTCTTGTTTACTCTGTTTTTTGGTTTTAAAGGTTTTGTGAATGTTCGCGATAGGTCTCCTGGAATGTATGTGAAAAGCAGCGCTGCTCAATGTTAAGAAACTCCCTTTGTCGCTTCCACATTTGATGCGATTGTGTGAGAGCGTGTGATTGTATGATTCATGGTCATTTCAGATTTTTACGATATGGAATGTTGAAGTGATCACTAGTAATTAGTACTGCGGCTAGTAGCTTCGTTTGAATAGGTTTGTTTAGTTTGAGTTATTGAGATATATGTTGTGAATTTGTATAAGAGATATTTGAAAAATGAAGTTGACAGATAGGAAGGGTGTGGGTGTGGGTGTGTTAGTATAGAAGCACATATAATGTACTTATTAAACATATATAATATTGTTCACACAAGTTTACATGATCAACTTATAAAAGATTGCCGTGAGTGGGAATCGAACCACACGTCTCCCCGTTACCGGCGGGTTGCTCTATCAACTGAGCTATCTCGACGCTCTTCCACCAGTTGAAAATTTCAACTGTATGTGATCGTCTGTATATATGTTTTTTATTATTATTAGTGATACATATGTATATGGGTGTGGGTGTGGGTGTGGGTGTGTGACAAGCAGCCATGACACGTGTTTCGTCCGAGCAAAGGGACTCAACAGATGGCAATTGATACTTAATGAATTAAAGAATATTAATCCAAAGTAACAAATTTAAACTGTTACAACTCAAGTCGAAACTTGAGAGTAGTGTTAAATTCAAGTCATAGTGTGTGACAAGCAGCCATGACGCGTGTTTCATCCTAGCTCAGAGGACTCATTCAGATGGCTAAATAGTAGCTCAGAATTTCGAAGAAAAATCCTAAGTACTATATTATATACTGTTACCTCAAGTTCGAAAACTTGAAAGTAGTGATAAATTCATGTCATAGTGTGTGACAAGCTGCCATGACACGTGTTTCGTCCTAGCTCAGAGGACTCATTCAGATGGCAATTAGCGCTAAGAATTAAAGAATCCTAAGTACTGAATTTATTCTGTTACTATGAAACCTAAAGCGATTTCCAAGTAAGGATAAATTCTAGACTCAGTGTATGACAAGGTGTCGTGACACGTGTTTCGATCTTGCTCATGGGTCTGATTCAGATGGATTTGTATATTATATTATGCCGAATGTCGGAATTATTAGTAAATAATGGACATTTGAATTACTAGGATATACTAATAGATCTAAGAGGAACATTCGGACATATCTCTGTATGTGTGGTAGAATATATATGGAGCGAATAGAATTAGTAAGATTTAATTTTAAGGACAAAGATTTGGGTGACACAAGTTACCATGAAAAATCCTTTTGTTTCGAATAGTCAAGAGAGTGTGTCAGGCAATCATTATGGCGCTTGCTTCACGGCTGAAAGAAGAGCGAGATGGCTTTGACTTTGTAGTATTGGTTCAAATATTTGAGATATTACAAACAAAACGCATTTATGTAAGCAGAATTCAATATAGATTGAAATGAATGTAATATAGATTTGATAGATACCTATAAAAGTGACTTTTGTTCGAATTAAGGGAGTCTTCTAATGTGAAAGAATGAGTTCGTTTAGAATCTGAATGACGTGATCTTGTAAATTGAGTTAATGCCCTTTTACGTCTACGACGTCGATGTTAATTGTCTATTTCCAAGTGATTTCTGTAGAAATGCTGGTAGGTCGTATCATAAGAGTGGTTTTATCTATATTCAGTTAAACTCAAATTCCAGAAAATTGTAATGTGAAAGTAACTTAAATTTTCTAGATAATAATTTAGAATTTATTCTAAATTTATATGTAAAATAAATTAATACAAATATATCGCCCCTGCTCTTCCTGGGAAATGCATATGACGGAGTGTATATTTCAATGGAAATACACCATTCATCTCGTGTAGATAGTGAGGTAAACAAGTCGCCTTTATAAATGTATATTTCTTTATCATTCTGTTCTAAACACGATACTCGTCATATTTTTTTTCTTCTTTTAAGAGTATGTGCCGTTATGCAAGAATGCATTTCTTTGCAACGTTCGTCATCACCATCCACATTTTTTTTCTATCAGTTATCTTTCAGTTGTGTTTTTTCGAGCAAATCGACGCAATAAAATTGTGTTTCATCAAAATAATCGTCGAATATGTTAGATGAACTCATTTTTATAGTGTTTTAATTCATACAGATTCCTTGCAGTTAGGAACAAGCCTGTCCGACAAAAAGAAGAACATTGACTTTTGTGTGATTACTGAAAAAAAAAACACATTTTGTAATTTGATATGTCTTGCTACTAATTTGCTGATATGATTGATTCTAGTTTACTAAATTGTGTTTTTTATGTTTGTTACTCTTACCGAGTGAGCGCAACAGTCAATTTGCAAATATAAGATGACAAGTGATTTGAAGCGTACTTTTTCTTAATAAAGATGATGTATATATACTTGATCGATTTTAGTTGTCAACAGTTGAAGATCTTATAATATTTGATTTTGAAATTTAACTTTTTAAAATCAAAGTAAATGTATTTCTAGTTTACTCAAATAGGTTTCTAGGACTATATCCACCTTAACACCTGTAATAACATTGTAAATACGTATAGAAATTAGTTTCAATATAAGAAACAATGAATGAATACAAACTGATCTATCGTGGGCAATTCTAATTGTGCTTGGCCTGGTCGCTTTTCATTCTATGAAGTGAGCGAAGCAAATCATCAATACGTCACTCAGTTATTATTCATCGATAATTAAATGATGTATCTCTCGTCATCAATGATAACCTTGGACATTTCATCTTTCCGCGAATCACAACTAATCATTATTTTCATCATGATCGACACACTCATTTATATGAATGAATAATGTGACAAGGTGAAGATGAGGAGGAAAATAATTATGTTGGAAATTTTTTGAAGTATTGGTAAAACATATACACCTTTCATTTTTATGATTATTCACAGGTCTAACATTTGATTGTATCGTATACATTCCTTATGTATGTCAGCGAATATCTCATTATATGCCAGTATTGAAGGACTTTCTATGTCAAGACATAACTAACCTCAATTAAACTAAGGCCCATGACCGCATCCAGTGCCAATTTTGTGCACCAAGCATTCCAATAAATGTTGACTTTTCTTTCTTTTTTAGATATAAATGGCACTTGGTCAAAGACGAGCATTAGTAATTGGCAACGACGAGTATCATACACAATCGCGATTGAGAAATGCTGTCAATGATGCCCATGGTGTAACACAAGCTTTAAGAGCTTTAAATTTTCATGTGAAGTATGAAACCGATCTGAATGGTGGTGTATTGGAAAACAACGCTGGACAGTTTGTATCGAATGTACACCAAGGTGATACGGTTTTTTTTTACTTTTCTGGCCATGGTCTTCAATATGAAAACAGAAACTATTTGGTTGGAGTTAATGCAGGGCAATTGACATCAGCCAATTTTCGACCGTATTGTTTAGGCGCGACAAGGCTTCTCGAAAACTTAGTAGCAAAACATCCACGCACGATCATATTCATTCTTGATTGTTGTCGAAACAATCCATTCGTCCGCTATAACGATGCAATGAACGGTCATGATAGATCATCTGGTTTTAAACATGGCCTTGCTAAAATGGAATTCGATGCGCCTACTCATAAAAGTGTCAATCAACGACGACCAGCTATTCGAATAATAATCGGCTTTGCTTGTGCATCAGGTGCAACTTCACGTGATCGATCACTGCATGATGGTAGAGGCATGTACGGATACCATTTAGTGGCACAATTAACAAGACGAACGAATATAACAAAAATATTAAAACAAGTACGGACCGCTGTTATACGCGACTCTCAAAGTACACAAATACCATACGTACACGATAATGGACATGAACCCGAACACTTATCAGATGCGAGTGATGGCTTTGAAAGTAACTAAAGCTCGTCAAGACCAGCTATATCTTTTGGTAAAGTAACTCAACCATTGCCTTACTTTTTAATTACCCTTCAAAATGATTCAAAATAAAAACAAACTTTTCAAACCAATAGCCAATGCACTATAGTATCTTCTAGTAAGAATGTGTAGAAGGGGTGTGGGTATTTCATATCATGTTTCAAAGATGAATTAATAGCTAGCAAGACGTATTTCGATAAGCGCTAAAGTTAAACTAGAGTGTGGGTGTGCGTGTGTGAAATATCTGTTTCCAATAAATCAATGAATTTATAGGAAATCCTTTCAACATAAAGGTGAAAATTTCCAACAAGAATAGGGTGTACATAAATCAATTGAAAACAGGTCGACCTATATTTCATATAATACAAATCAATTTGCGGCTCTCAACTCTTGCTTTTAAGGAATCGATCTAGAATGTGGGTGTGAGTGTGTATTAGAATAGATCGCCGTCCACAACAACGTTGTTTCTGTCTTGGCAGGACTTGATCAAGTGAAATTCTTAACCTTATATTTACTTAGATAATATAACTCTAAGAAGTGGGTATGGGTGTGGGTGTGGGTGAATAAATCAAATGTTCGAAAACAGATCAATGCATATATTTTTTTTCAAAAATAATATAAATCAATCTGCTATTTGGGTGTGGGTGTGGGTGTGTAAAGTTACCACGATAACCTAGTAGATTATTTCTGATGTTCTAAACTCAAATCTTTATCAAGTGGTCTAAGTATTAGTATATGAGATCCAAATATAAAATTTGAATCAAATACGTAACACTATAAAAATTCTACTTTGTAATAAGTAGAATGCACCTACAATAATAGTGGGTGTGTAAAGTTACCACGATAACCTAGTAGATTATTTCTGATGTTCTAAACTCAAATCTTTATCAAGTGGTCTAAGTATTAGTATATGAGATCCAAATATAAAATTTGAATCAATACGTAACACTATATAAATTCTACTTTAGAACTCAAAGACTTGAAATTCAGAGCACCACACGACGCGTTTCGTCCTTGCTTAAGGGACTCGACAGGCATGTTTAGAATTTCATAATTACATATAAGTCTTAACTCACACAAATTTCTTTGGAGAAGTTAAGGCTAAGACGTAATTAAATAAAAGACTATCATAATTTAATTTAGAACTCAAAGACTTGAAATTCAGAGCATCACACGACGCGTTTCGTCCTTGCTTAAGGGACTCGACAGGCATGTTTAGAATTTCATAATTACATGCAAGTCAGAACTCACTCAAGTTTATTATGAAAGATTTTTGAGATTGAAAGCATCACACGACGCGTTTCGATCTTGCTTAAGGGTCTATCACCAGGTACGTTTACATCTATAGGTACATAGATTCGAAACTTTCCAAATTTTGAAGAAGTTTTGAATAGATGCATACTAATCCAATTAACAATATGAAATTATTATAGATGAGAAACAGATTGGCTTATATTTTTGTATAATACAAATCAATCTGCTAGTCTCAACTTTTCCTTTTCAGCAAACGATTTTCTGTCGAAAGTTAAATATTAAATAAATATGCTTGAATAAAAGTTAATTTAAAATAAATGAAGAGTTAATTTCGTCCACGCACTTCGTATCTTTTACAAGATAGTACCGCTCAGGGCTAGAGATGTATGTATCTCTTGGTAAGTTGTAATAAGGCTTTTTTTCTAACGTAATATTTTTTATTGGCAATTTACACGTAAGATGCAGTTCAGAACAGAAAAGAAGCATTACTAACTACAAAAATAAAACAGAACGAACGTGTTAAAAAAACTCGTACATGTACAGTTCACAATAACTTCCAGATTATACCATTCTATTTATATTGCGAACAGTAAAATAAAACAAAATTTATGGGTTCTTTTATACTTGATAAAACGTCACCGGCATACAACTAATTAAAGTTGTAGTAATGACTAATATAATAAAATACTGACAAGATTCCATTGCTTTATTGTTAGAGAATAGTGATTTTGTACATTATGAAATTTATTTTTGACGTCGTTTTACAGGTCTAAGAATACATGTCTTTTCCGCTTGATGAACTGCATCTAATGAATTTGATCGTTTATTAGTTCGTGATGATAACAGTGGTATTTGAATTTTTGCACAAATATTAATTGTTTCTTTAGTGTTATCAATGGCAGAAGCAATTATTGAGTTTTGACCAGTAACTTCCAAGGATGGTGCAGCTACCGATGGAGTAAGTGTAACAGGTGAGTCATTCCCTGGTTGATTGATCGGTTC